AGCCAATATCGGTAGAAAAACCATGAAAATTGCTTTCTTTTGCGACCGATAGACGCTGAAAGTTTATTCTGAATGACCATAAGAGATGTAAAATGCATTTTTTAATTCTACAGTAGGGGAAAATATTCAACACTGAGACAGCACGAATAGCTAAACAACGGGAATATCTTGATCAGGGATGTAAACCGTTGACGTTTTTTACTACACTCGCTTCGTTGTCGTGAGCGACAGTCTGTTTGTATTCGTACGCTCATGTTCTACCGTCGTCTCTCTCACACAACACAGTTCGAAAAAGTAGCGTAAATTTATGTTCAGTATGATGCACATAAATGGAGCGTCACATATCATATAAGTTTACATTATATATCATGTAAAGTTCTGAGACATTTCATGCAATGTAGCAAATATTGTATACAAAAGCCCATTGTTGTAAACAACATTTTTTACAAGTTGCTCGGTTGCGAGTCATAAAATACAAGTTTACGTGAATGAATGTTTACATCACAATTAAACATTCGAGCAAAAAGAAAATTATCAAATAACTATCATATGACATGTGTGATTTCGTTCTAATTCCTCAATTTGGTGTAAATTGAACCATTTCTGATCAGATATGTTATTACTAGGACATCGTTGCTTGCTATTTTCAGAATTCACACAGGCACAACATCAGCTGCTCATATTATGAGAAAAACTAAAATACATACATTCGTGACGGTCTTTGGCGACAGTGTCGTATGACACAGGCTGTCATATGACATTTTAGTTTGCTACTGTAATTTGATAGCTTGTATTGCAAGTGTCGGAAGCAAATGCAGTCGATTGTCACAAAAAATGTGTTGACTACGGTGACCGCTTACAAGACTGATCTTGATCATAAAGGATGTTACAATCAAAATTTGGTCAAACAAAAATGCGTGTAAATTGAATAAAAGTGTTATTAAACATTACATCACAGACAAACAGACATAACACATTGAATATTTCTCACTGTAAAACATCGTCGCTAAAACATTACCGCCATCTGTTGAGTACACTGTGGTGGGCACTACGCTGAACAGATGGCGGTAGTGTGTAAACGTCAAACGTAAGGGAATTGACTATGCGCGCCACAGCTGGCGGTACTACCAACTACGATACTTTTAAATTGCTCGTTAAATGCTTGTTCGATCAACAACTTGCGAGTGTTATGTCTGTTTGTCTGTGATTACATATTATCTGGATGCCAAAACAAATTGACACATAAAACCTGTCAAATTCGCTTTCAGATAGACACAATCCGCGATTTTACGACTCATGAATCATAAAATAGCTGATTTTGACACTCTGAAAGCAAAATTGACATGTTTTATGTGAAACACTTAAACCTCTTTTTGTATCTAACAAGTATAAAATATCATTATAACATCTAATGATTTCAAAATTCCGAAAATCCTTTTTTTATAGCAAGCAACTCTGGTTTGAACCTCGCTAATCTGCATGCCGTGCAAACTAAAAAATGCCCAAACATCACCTAGCACATGGAATAGAGTAAAGCTAAATGGAACGATGCGAAAAAAACGCAGAATCAAAACAAAACAGTATATAAGGGCACCAGAAACTCGTTTTTCTGATAGTTGTAGGGTTACTAAAAGTTCAAATAAAAAATGAGCCCCGTTAGTTGCACGACGTGTCGTTCAGATTAACGGGGTTCCACGGTAGCATTTTTCATGTTTTCATGTGCGATGTCCCAAATGAACCACTATTTTTTTATTTAGGGACAAAACATTATTATTTAGATCGGTGCAAAGTTTACTGATATATTTTCTTTTTATAATTTTTTGATTCAGCTGGTTTGGATTCTTTTTCTTTTTTTTTGCTGCTAACAATTCCATTTTTTCTGTAACAAAAATACATTGGAGTCATTTTTTTTGCGAGGGAAATGTACTACGTAAAACGGACCAACCTAAGTTGATAAGCTCACATGCTTAAACATTTTTAAATATATGGATTATGATAGTCATGGAAAATATACACTTTTTATTATTCTGGATTTTCACCAGAAAATATTATTTTCATTCAAGTACGCCATTTGACAACTTTTTTTTTCCAAAACGGACAATGTGATTGGAATTAGATCGTTAATTTGTGACACTTTCGAGAAATCGTTAAAAACGTACCGCGTAAAAAGCGACTTAAGGGAGAAAACCGCATTAAAACTGACTCCACTGTACTTATATAGTGTTTGTGAAGCTATTCAGAAAACTGGAAGTCCCCATCTTGCATTCTAAAATGGTGACCATACATTTTTTGTAGATTTTTAATTTAATTTTGGAATGTTTCACTTTTTTGTTGATTTTAGTAAATTTTAAAAAGATTAAAAGAATAATATTTTGTCTATTGCTTCATTGTGCTTCAAGAAATAACAATTTGAAAAATGGTAGTAAAATAAGAATGGTTTTCTTCAATATTGAAAAACAGTATTGGTCCCTCGGCTCCGTTTAGCTCCAAGAGACAATGAGCCTACCAAATAAATATTATTGAAAAAATAATCGTTTTACTAAAACAGCTCAAACTCCATACAAACTCAGCCAACACATTACCAATAAACCTTGAATATTTTTTAAAAATTTCAGAAATTTTGATACACGTTCAATAAAGTTACAGCTCTTTGATTTTTTTATGAGATACAAAAAAATAACAACCCGAGCAAAGCTGAAGATCAAGTTGAAATCAAAATTTGCTGTTATGATGTAACTTATTTTGAATACTCTAGTTGATCTCATTTTGGTTGACTTAACGGTTAACACAGCAAAAATGAGAGCAAAATTTTACACTGTTGAAGCAAACGGAAAACTAATCCTGCTTTCAATGAAATCAATTTGTTTACTAATTTTGCATTAATAATGTTCAATTGAATACGGGCCTGGAGTAAATGGTTACCATTCATGTTTCTCAAGCTGAAAGACTTGGGCTCCAATCTCACCCGGGCACGTCACGAATAACCTAAAATGTGTTAAACAAATCAAATAAACAATAATCATTAGTTCAACGACAGATGAATTTCAATTAAATTTTAAACAATACGTAAACAGCAGAACTTCAAGTTAAGTTGCTTTCATTTAAAAAGTCTTGACTGCATAATGAAAGCACAATATGATATCAGACTTATGTCAACTGCACACTATAATATCGATTTGCTTTCATTTTGTTAGCCGACTTTGCTCGGGAATCTATACTATATAATTGCCAGTACCGTAATCCGGTGCCAAATTGATCACCGAGTGAAATTTATCATTATGAATTGCGTTTTTAGTTGGCACGTAGAAAATTATCTGTGATAGATATCAAAAAAAAAATGATAGCATTTCAACATGATTTGATAACTTTGACGATTTTATCATAAATATAAAGCAGATTTTACTGCATAAATTTCAATTTTATTTAACTGTCATTTAACAGTATTCAATAGCAACATTCAAACAAACGGTCATAGGGTTTCAACGATTGTTATCATTAACTTGAAAGTTATATTTTTCATTGAAATAAATCAATGGTTTTCTGTGAAATTCAGTGATATTTAAAGAAATTGCCTACATTTAGGCGTAACTATTCTTTTCAAGAAACCTTTTGTTTTTGTAATTTCTGCACAACGATGTTAGCATCTGATTCAGGGATCCCAAATGTATGAACAGTTACTGTACATTTACGAAAGTCATTTGAGGGGTTGATTAATTTCACCCCATATCGATATTTTCAAATTTTAGTTTTCAAAAATAGCCTAAACATAAACAAAACGCTCAATATGATAAGTAATCATGCAGAACCATAGAGATCTCATAGCTACCGATTTTAATACCATTAGTGTCAGTTTCGTTTAATGTAGAAATTTAAATGTGCATTTACATTATTAATTGATTATTGATCAATTGATTACGGAACTACAAAATCGAATCTAACATCAAGTTGCTATAAGGTCATAAAACGTCAAATTGATCTTAAAACGCCAAAAATACCTTAAGAAAAAAGCTCGGAAACTGGTTTTGAGTACACCAAAATATGTTACGGCTGCTGTAATTGAAATCTTTTCAAAGAAATATGAAAATTATCAATATGTAGGAGGATTTTTCCAATGTATCAAATTTGCGTAGAAAAGATGAATATTGGTGAATAAAATTAGCAATCGTGACTCCACCTGGTATATGTATGAACATATTTACATTTTTTTTTAAATGTGTGTATTGCTTCGATACAACGTAACTAAACGAAAAATTAAGCAATTATAAATACTAATACAGGTAATAAAATCTTCTAAATTTAATTAAAAAGATAAAAAAAAGCAACTATTCCACTATCTAATTCTCTCATTTCGTAATAAGGGCGCAACAATTAAAGCTCGAAAATCAACAAAAAATCAAGAGCACGGCGCCAAACATCGAGTATGCCCTTCAACCCGGAAATGTATCGTATGTGATGTGCTAACTATTATTGTTCCCATCCGAGAACCAGACATCTGATTCACTCGTTAACTATGTTTACTCAGCAATAGATAATAATCTAAAAAAAAAGTTAAACGTGTAGGAACCTACACAAAATGCGATCAATTATCCGTGTGTATGATTTTCATACGCATTAGTACCTTCTATTCTGAACTGCTCTCATATGAGCATGATCAAGTTTTAAAATGTAGCGCTGCAGCTTGGAGGTACAGTTCAGTGCATAACGGAATAATGTGTAGCAGCCGAGCTCCACGCTGATAAGCAAATCCATTCTCCATATTATAATTTGTAACTAGAACGTTTAGATACATCACTTTTCCGTCCGGTTTTCCGTCTTTGAGAAAAAACGCTATTTAAAAGCTGAATTTAAGCTCACAGTTTTCGGATTTCATTCACTTTGTTATTATTATGCGCATCCATCCATTCTTCCCCAGTTGGTTGCATGGAGAGTAGAGTTTAATTGGCGTCGATTGATACTCGCTCATATTCACATAAGTAGAATGAACAGAATGTTATACATACCTAACAGAGATGATTTGATCACAGATGAGCAGTTTGAAGTTTTACAATCAGCTGACGATTTCTGGAAATAACTTATCTCGTTTCTGGATTCTGACTGACCGCAGGTAATGCTGAATCACTCTTTTAACTTGATGGTCAGAATATCTTCAGACATTTGTCCTAAGAACTCACGAAATCATTATGCTTACTCACGGTACCAACAAAATAAATGAACGCAGGCTCATCAAACTTTTTTTTCTGTTTGAAATATCAACACTCACTTTTCTACCACTGCTTCAACGAACTTCAAGTAAAACAAGAACTGCCGAATCCACGAAGCATGGTCCGTTCATGTGTTTGTCGCACGGCACAGCTAGAAACTATGACGATGACGGTACAGAAATGAGTCGTAAATTGAATTAACCAAACAGTTCAAAAGTACAGAAAGGAAAAGGCCACTCTGCAGGAAGGAAAAAATAAAAACAGCCAAAGGGGGACCACTCGACCAAAACAGCGAATCGCGAGAAAACTAACTCAGTAGTAAACTGTAACAGACATTAACGCAAACAGCAACGCGAAAAACCGACGCTGTCGCGAGCACGCGCGAGAATGAAAAAATTCCGGTGCAGACGGAAATGCGACCGAACTAATCGAGAATCCAAGCAGCACTGACTTGTGGCGGTGATGGTTGGTTGGTGAAGCGAACGACTATTTGCAGCAGTGTGGTCAAGTCTATAGGATTTATCCGTAGATCTACGGATTTTTAGATTAACCATCGGATCTACGAACCAACGATAACATTCTTCGGATTTTCCAGATTTTTAGGGTTTTTTTTTAAGGGCAGTAGAAATTCTACGGATTCTCCAAATGATGCCTCACCCCCGCTCATCTCTTTCAAAACTTTAACTTTTTAAAGGACAGTTTTTGGAAAATGTTCATTACATTTAGCAATAATTAATGCAGTGTAAACAAATTTATCCTTCTACGGATCGTACTCCATGAAAAGTTAACAACACTGGTTTGCAGAGCGCGCATAGGCATAAGGTTGCGCGATATCTGGTCGCGAGGAGGTCGTCACGAGTGGCACGTGAAGAAGGAAAACGGAACGCACGAGCTACAGAACTACAGTCGACGGTTCTCGATGAGCTGGTGCAGCAATTACTTATTGCTATAATATACAATGGGACAGATGGGCTGGATGAGGCACCGTTAGACGATGGCGGCGGAAAACTGAAATGCGACACGATTAAGCAAACCGCTATGAAGAAAATATGTAACATTTAAGCGAACCCCACACGTATCAATAAATTGACGCGAAGGGGAATTATTGACAATAATATTTAGACAGACATATTGTCAATATCGATATATTGACTTCAATATATAATGTTTTGACACTGAACGGCGCCGGTGGTGTAGTGGTAAGCGTGATTACCTCTCACTCCAGCAGGCCTGGGTTCAATCCCAGTCGGCGCCGCCGGGATGTTCTGAGGCATAACATCTCTGATCACGCCTTCCTTCGGATGGGAAGTAAAGCCGTTGGTCCCCGGTTCATGAGTTGATGGGTCGATAGGTAGGGTCCAGGTGTGGGAGCTGCCTTCCTGGCACGTCGGTAGCATTGGTGCTCAGCACGGAAAACAAGATCGACGAAAAAAACAAACCAAAGGAAAAAAAAAAAAAAAGTTTTGACACTACGATTATTGCCAATTAAAAGCAATCGTGTAGGGTCTACTTTATACTTACGACTCCGACCAACAGTGGGACGATTGTAAAAAAAAGGTCAAAACCATTTTCTCGCTTTTCTCGTTTAAGTGTTTTCGTAGAAGCTTCTTGAAATGGTATGGAAATGGTAAATGGTAAATGCTATTTTGAAACTTCTGAAATATCCATATAAATGTTTATTAAGGTAGAAAAACTAACTTTTTGTAATCACAAGATAATATGTTTATGTCTTGCGCAATGTTGTAGAACTATGAATTTCATGAAACTTTGCTGAGGACAACAAGTTTCTATGTCATAAGTCTAGCGATTTATAAATGAATTTCTGTCAGGTTTACCTAAAATCAGATGGCTGGGTTCGATTCCCGGTACGATCTAGGATTTTGTTTGAATTATAAATTTCTCAACTTTCTAAGGCATAGAGTATGATGGTACTTGCCACACAATTACACTACACAGCAAAAAAAATGTAATATCGATCAATGTAATTCAAGTTGATGTATGGAATAATGATGTAATAGCAAAAAGCAGATTCAATATTACATCAATGGATGTAATTTTGTTCGCAAAATCGATGTTCATCGTACAACGTTATATTACACAACCGATGGATTGACCTGGTTGCAGCAGTTTGGATGTAATATTCAACAACTTTTTTTTCTGTGTAATGCAAAAATGGTATAGGAATCTAAAGTTAATATGCGATAAGCAAATAAGCTTGGAATGTGAAAAAGAAGAAGAAAAAGAAGAAGAAGAATAAGAAGAAGAAGAGAAGAAGAAGAATAAGAAGCTTACATATAAATAAAACTTAATAGGGGAAATGAATGTAACGTCGGCCTAAGTGTCCCTAATTTGGGCCCATACATACATTTAGCAAAAATATCCATTAGTACCGTCCCAATGACTCGTTCATCTAGATAAAATTGATAAATAGCAGATTTATAGTTATGGGCCCAATCTTAGATCTATTTCCCCTACCATTTTTTTAGTTATAGTCACTTAACACTCTTGGGCAAACTCGATTAAGCTCAGAATTTCAGCACACGTAGTTTAAACTATAAGGAACAACTTTGCTCAAAACAGCATCATGATTCAAGTTAGTATTATGGAGATATTAATTAATGATGTGCATTCTGTTCGTATATTGCAACAAAATGTAGGCAGCTTATGCAACGTATTAACTAGATTACCACTAAAAATACAAGTTCATATTTTCCACAGGCCAACATCAAGGCTCTTGTCTTTTGGTGCGATAACCACTCTCTGAATGTTTCAGATCTTTTTGACGGTACACGAGCTGGCGCTTTTAGTTCAATGTTCATAGGAGATTTGGTTGAAATTTTTATATAAATAATGCTCATATACATTCAAAAGCAAATAACTCAATAAAACTAACTGGATTCATGATGAAACCTCCGGCAAAAATGTTACTCATTGATTGAACGACAAGTTTGAAAATCTGAATCAAATCGATAATAAGGAAACTTTTTTATGATCGATAGAGTGTATGAGAGTAATTTTTTCATGTATTTTATCCAAATTCCCCATTCAAAATTCAAACTAAAAGCGCCAGCTCGTGTTACATCCGAATGAGCTGAAATTTTCAGAGAGTGGTTTTTCTTACATAATGGCACGAAGCTAGGGAAAATTACAACTTTTATTTTTGTGGGCCAGTCTACTGCTCATTCTTTTCATAAACCCATTTTTTCATAACAGCTCATTCTTTTCATAAATACAAATAGTGGAATACCTGTATAATGAGAGAGAGAAGGATTAGTAATTTCCATTTAATTCCACTACCTTATTTGCTTATCCTTGACAGATACGCGTATTTCGTCTAAAATGTGCAGACTTCTTCAGTGTCTTGTACTAATACTCGATTGTATGTAGTCGAGTATTAATACAATACACTGAAGAAGTCTGCACATTGTAGACGAAATACGCGTATCTGTCAAGGATAAGCAAATAAGGTAGTGGAATTAAATGGAAATTACTAATCCTTCTCTCTCTCTCATTATACAGGTATTCCACTAAGACGCCCACATTCATCAGGACTCTTGGGTAATTCGTGACTTGTCCGGGGGTGAGATTTAAACTCGTGACTTTGGCGTGAGAGGTATGGATGAGAGGAACCACTAAATACGCCAGGGTCGCCCCCTACAACTAAATACTATTAAAAATAGCTAAACTAAATAAAATTATAACCAAAACGACCGAAAAGACTATTGGAAAAACCAATTTACCCGAGCAGACCCGACAATGACTTTTGGTACATTAGTATGTACATCATACCATGATCAAACAACGTTAATTTTGAATGCCAGAAACTGCCATTTTTAGAGAAAATTTAACTGCAAAATTTCCAGTTGACGATCTGATTTTCTAGTAGAAAGACGCTTTGTTTGCTTGCTGAGCTGTTGTTTCGCGCTAGTGGTAATAATTCGTGCACAGAAAAATGTCGAGTGGTATTTCGGTTACAAACACCCTTGGTTTCCTTTTTCCGGACAATGCTGCGCAGCCAAAACTGGCTGAGATGGTCCGCTTTGTAAAAGGACTTGCGGGTAACCAGGGAACGATGGATACAGCCTACAAAAATGCAGAGGAGAGAATGGTTTATATAAAATACAACTCTGAGGAGGGCATGAGAGAAGCCCTTGCGCTCAATGAAAAGAAGCTGCCGTTCCATTATTCTAATGGAAAAAAGTGGATGTCTACATGTCAGTAGCCGGTAGTAACATTCAATATGTACGAGTGTTTGACCTACCGCCGGAGGTATCCGATCACGATCTGTCGCTGGCACTAATCAAGTACGGAAAAATCAAACGCTGTGTTCGAGAGAAGTATCCCCCAGAATATCAGCTTGATTTATTTACTGGTGTCCGTGGAATCTATATGGATGTAGAAAATGAAATCCCATCGGTGGTGTACTTCCACAATAGACGGGGGAGAATTTTTTATAATGGAAACAAACTTAAATGTTTCGCTTGTGGACAGGAGGGGCACCAAAAAAATGCATGCGGAAAGAGGAAGAACAAATCGACAGGAGAAACAGAAGAAGGTGCTGGGCAAAAAAACAACACATTTGCTGCCGTTCTCGCAGGCACGAGTACTTCGGACAAGCAGACAGTAGAACTCGAAATAGAGATGCTAGAAGAAGAAAAAGAAGCAGAAGAAGAAAAGGATGCAGCTGTAGCTCCAACTACGACCATGGACTTAGAAGTGGATAACGGAGGGCAGCAGAATAATCAGCAGAAACAGACGGTCCTACACTACCAGCAGCGACACAAACAAACAGTTGGAAATTGGACAGAGCACGTGAAAATACACACCAAACTGATCAAAGAACAACAAAAACTACAGAAGCACGCCAGTGAAAATTCACAACCGAGAAAAACTTTACGCCCCAACTCTCCACGCTCCGGCCCTGAATCCGAATAACTTTTAATTCTAATGAATTGTAATCTTATTCCCTAGACTATTGGCTCCGTAGAGTTGATTTCGACAGTTGAGCCTTACAAATAAATAAAATGAATAAAAAAAAAACTGCAAAATTTGCTGTATTGCTGTTTTGAAAAACGTTGGGTATTTTGATGATTTTGAAAGCTTCCTTTGTTCGGAACATAAATCCGATGCGATCAGTTTGTATCTATTGTAATATACCCCGCATCCTTAGTTTAGTGCATGTCATATTACTCCATCACTTTTGAGAAATGATGAAGTATTCGATTTTGATACAGTTATTTTTTTTCCTTGCTTCAAGATCATCCTCCGAGTCTAGTCACTATCAACATGGCATAAAAAGTAAAAAGGACTAAGATGTGTTCCTTTGATTATAAATCAATCCTGTCCCTCAGTTTGCAGTAGTTCGGACTAGGTTTTGGTGGTAGATCTTAATGCCAGTAACGCACCACGAAAAAGCAATCGACTAGTTGAAA